GATGTTGAAGAGCCAGATGTCCATGGGGAAGTGTGGTGGCCGGCTTTGGCAGTGGGTGGTAATTAGAAACTGGGAGGAGCGGGCAGGATATTTGCTGCACGACCCACACAATTACATGGCAAGAAAGCACACAGCAAATTGTGGGGCTGGAGATTCAGCTGCCACGAGAATGAGATGGCGTGGCAGCCAGTGTACAGGGCAGGGGCTGCATCCTGTGTGCCTCACACTAAACGTACGCTCTGATTGTGTATCCTGCTTACAGCCACTGAACCCCTGCAGACAGCCTCGTCCCAGCCTTGCAAAGCCTCCCTTCCAAGCTCAGCTGAAAGCCCTGTATGATCACTGGAATTAGGAAGCTACTGTCCACCAGCCCCAGGTTTTCCTGGCGTGGAACAGAGAACTTTCTTGGATGACTCAACCTTTGTCAAGGGCTCTCAATGTACTGTGCTGAGCACTTGGCCCGATGCTCAATCCTTCAGTGTCAAATTAGCACCCTGCATCTTAGGAAAATGCAAACAAAAGGCGTATCAGCAAAACTGATTGAATTGGCCTGGGCTTTTGAAGTAGGGATACAGAATGATGCATCTTAGCAAGTGGAAGCTGCTTTTCAGGACACGGTTACCCATCAGAGGAAATGCTACTGTCTTAGCTGACGTGGACAGAGTCATGGACTCAGTTCAGCCGTGCGTAGCTTTCCTGGCTGCAGGCATAAAGTGGGCCTAATTCACAAACTGGGGCCCTTTCCTGCCCCCACTGTGCTGGGTACAGAGGAGGGGTGTGAGTCCAGCAGTACCCAGCCCACCTACTCTGGATTGTGCTGCCACTGAACTTGTCGGGGATCTCAGAGTCATTTGTTGCTGCTTAGTGGATGTCCCACAGATTTGACCGTTCTAATGGGCTTTTTGGCTGACATGTATTGAAGGCGCGGCAGACAGACGTCAGTCCTCCGTGCCCCGAAGACTCTATGCAGATGGCTTGGGGCCAGTTTGAGAGGGGATAGACACACTGAAGCATGCTGTCTCCTGTTTCTGTCCCCCGCCCTGTAAGCGAGCCTCACACCAGCAGCTGTGCTGAGAGTTCTGGGCCTAGGCTGCCCTGCACCCATGCTGCTGTGCCAAGCATCCCAGACCTTAGGGTCTGGCACAGGTGGGCAAGGGCAGAGCTGTTGAGAAGGCCGTTTCGCTAATATAATTGAGGCCTCTGGGCTGAGTTAGTGGTCTCTCCTGACAGCCAAGCTGGTGCCAGGCTTGCAACACAGCCGGGCACTGGCAGGATGTGGACGTTCAGGGTTTTCTGTTGCCAAGTCCACAGCCAGGCAGCAGCCGCTGGACAGCAGGAGGGAAGAGTCTGCCTCTCACATTAAAGGTGGCCAGTAGACGGAGAGGTGGGAGGGTGGTATGCGCCATCTGCGGGTAGTAGAGAGGCAATGATGTCCTGCCCACACGCTGGTCAGAAGCCCTCCTGGCATAGGTAGGTACTGCTTCCCCATCGAGGACTTAAGAACTACCCCCACAAATCTCCCAATTAGATTCTGTCTGGGGTCCAGTAATCCCAAATCAGAAAAAGTACAGGGGCCCAGTAGTGGAGTAGGGGCAACGTAAGAAAACGAAATAGAAGCTTTTCTGATAAATTCCCAAGGACTCCCAGGCTTTGTACTGAACTCCCCCTAATCTGGCAGCTGCCCAGAGAGGTAGGGCCTGGAAAGTGGAGGGCCGGGCTCAGCACGCTCACTCATGAAGGAAGAGCCTATATTTTATCTGCCTGGGATCCGGTCTGCCTCTCTGTCTCTCTTCTGAGCTGCCTCAGTTTCTCGTCCTGGTGTACTCGGAACTTTGTGTCAAAGCCACCACTCCCAGACACCTGTAAGGGTGACAGAGGTTCAAGTGGAGGCTGAGACAACATGGCATCCTGGGCTGCCACTCTTTGTGACGTTCTAGAAGCAGCTGCTCCAACAATTTCCTTATCCCTTAAGCCCTCTCCTCGCGGTTAGCTACTTGACTAGAGCCCGGCTCTCAAGCATCCTGTGGGGGCTCCTAGATGGTGCTTTGTCTTCTCCCACAATCCTGCTCTAAGAACGAGTGCCGTGTACTCACCCTTGCTCCCGTGGAATTCCGGGATGTGTCACTTTAAGAGACCCCCCCCCTCTAGTTTTCTGGGCCCCAGCCGCCTACCTGTGAAATGAGAATAGACCCACCAGATACAGGCTTCTTTTGTCCCTAATATTTCCCAGATCTGGGAATAAAGGATGGCTTTGGTGTGACGTGGGGGCTCTTGTTCACACCAGGGCACCAGACATGTCCAGTGTGTAAGGTAAGACAGTTATTTCAGCTCCAGTTCAGAAAGGACACCTGAGGTTTGTACTACCAGCCCTCGTCCATGTTGGTTGGGTTCTGTGCCTTAGAGGAACTCAGGGAGCCACCATGTTTCCCTTTGTTTCCTTGTACTCTCTCCCCATAAACTGTTATCTTCTGATACTTGGGGTCAACTAGTGCTCCAAGGAGCAGATGCATGGGGACTGGCCAGCTGCCCCCGTGGCGGGCATTTGAGTCATTCTGTCTTCGTTATTTCAAACAAGGCTGCGTTGACAACCCTGATAGCCGGTCCATCAGTGTACAAGCTTGGGCTCACCATCCCTGATCACTGTTTCTCTTCTGGTCTTTCTTTTATTCTGCCTCCTTCCTTCTCCACAAAAATACAGATTTAGGCAGGGCAGTGGCTGGGTTACCCCTATTCCTCTCAGGAACCATCCTAGCTTCCTGACAAGAGACCTCAGCTTGCTTCCTTGACCCACTCTGATGGTAATCCTGGGTGCTACTGAAGGCCCTAATGGTGGAGGGCACTTCTGCTCACTCTTTTAATAACAAACCTTAGACCTGGACTCTGTCTAGGACCTGCTCCAGATCAAAGCCGCCATAGGACACAGGACTCCTGTCTGTCTAAGGTTCAGGTCTACACCCCATCTGCAGCAGCCCCCACATCCCCTGTGTTCTGCCATTCTCTGGAGCCCCTCCCCCATGCTCAGGCATTTCCAATCCAGAGCTGAGTGGGATAGTAACAGCCCAGGTTCCCCGGGTGGAATAGAAGGCAAGGACACCAGAGGCTGACATGCCCTTGTGTCCACTGTCCTCCCCAGGGTCCCAGCCCAGCTGTACAAGCATGGCCACTAAGGTGGTAGTGGCACAGGGTGGCCCAGCACCTAGCTGCCCTTAGGACCCTAAGGGCCGGTCCTGCCATCCATGAAAGTTGGTACATGCGTCTAAAGCAGAAAGAGAAAAGCAAAGACAGAGATACCAGGACAGACAGACACACGGAAGGGAGGCAGCAACAGGGGGAGGAGGTGTGTGGCAACAAAGACGCTGTGTGACTGTATGTATTGCCACACCTCCCCAAGACCAGTAGCACTGAATCTGGCCTCTCCCCAGCACTCACACAGTTCAGCTGTGACAAGACAGCCTTTTCCACAGCGGATTACTAGCAGCACTGCCCCCTCCTGCTCTCCTGCTGTTGGCTATGTCTTTCCCCACTGCTCAGAGTCCAAAACAGGGCGGTCTTGGGTCAGTCCCTGACATATCCCCCAGGACACTCAGTGCCACACTGAAAGATGCCATGGGTGCTTCTGGTTGGGTGGGATGGCAAGGAGGCATCCTGTTGTGAACCCAGCATGACCCTCAAGCTGGCAGAGGTCATAAATGTTCCTCAAGGCTATCCTGTGTGGACAGGGCTGGGATGCCCATGCAAGTTGGAGGCAGAGAGCTGGGGCCATACCTGGCAAGGGTCAGAAAAGGGCTCAGCCTGGGAACCTTAGGGTTAGGAGCCTGGGGGCCAGCAGGGACCTAGAGCCAATACCTGTCTTGCTGCTCTGCTCTGACTCTGGCCAGTCCCAGAGGTAGCGAGCTGTCTGCTGCCTGTGTTCAGCGAGGTGTGGTATTTTAAATGTTTTGACATTTTAAATCTGTGTTGGATACATTCCGTGTGTTTAATTCCACCATGACTCACCAGGAATTGAGTCAGTGTGTCTCCTGGGATGGGGCACAGCTGGGTCCAGAGCAAGCAGAGGACTTCTTGCCTACCCTCCATGGGCTTCCAGTGGACGGAGCGTAGCACACGGCAGAAGTGGGTTCAGCTCCTGACACCGGGGGTGGGGGATGGACAGACCCTCTGTTCTCAAGGTCAGCTTGGGGAGGGGACACAGGGCCCAAGAGGGAGGTGGTGATGACTGAGAACATGCAGAAATACCTTCCCTTGAATGGTTTGTGCCCTGACTGTTGAGTGGAGCTTTGTGAAGATGCGACTTGGACTGCAGCTTCCCCAGCCCCTCCCAGCGACGGTCTGTGGTTACCTGGGAGTCGAGGCAAGGCCTTCACAGATGCTGCAACCAAATCCAAAAGAGGCTTGGGGAGTCCCGCCAATTCCAGCACTCTGGGTAGCCACTCCCCTTATTCCCAGGGTCTAGTCATGGTTGTCCTCACCACAAGCCGGAAGCCTTGCAAGTCACAAGCCTTGCGCTGGCCACGTTCTCCGTGTGTTTCCCCAAACGTAGAGTGTGTATAGAAAGCCTGGACCAATGAGCAGGGCTGTGCATCTCCAGACTGTTGAGAGGCACCCGGTGGGTGGGAAAACGTATAGAAGCATCAGTGTGAACCATCTGCATGCCGAGTGGGAGCCAAGGGCTCAGCCTCACTGAACAGACCACGCCATGGTCTGGAGTCCTGGGCATGATATCCTCAGACCCAGGACCCAGAGCTTGGACCTCGTCAGAACACGCAGGGTTTACCCAGCCCCAGAAACAGAGGCTATGCTGACCATTTTCAAGCAGGTTGGAGTGGGAACTGAGCCTGAGGAGGACCTGATCCGGTGGGCAGGCTACATGGGCACGGCCTTCCTACTGCGTGAAGTACCTCCCAACCACAGCTCTGAGCACACCGGCATGATAACCTCCAGGTCTGGTGGATAAGCAAAGTCTGTGTCTAGGACTAACGGCTGCCTCTCGCTCTCCGCAGGTTAATACCTTCATGTCCTTTGTGTTCCCCATGTTGGTCATCTCCGTCCTAAACACTGTGATTGCCAACAAGCTGACCGTCATGGTGCACCAGGCCAACGAGCAAGGCCGGGTGTGCACTGTGGGCAACCAGAACAGTTTACAGCACAGCATGTTCAGCATGTCCGTCGAACCTGGACGTGTCCAGGCCCTACGCCACGGAGTCCTCGTCTTACGTACGTAACCTCAGACCCTGGGGAGTAGACAGCGTTCTGGGGCTCAGTGTGGGGCTCGGCCCAATGGGATAGAATGCGGTCCAGGTTTGCCAGCGGCGCCCTGCCGTCGTCGCCCCCTCATGCCTTCGCTCAATCAACCGGAGGCTGGGTGCCAACTCTGGGCTTGAAGTCTTGTTCCAGCTTTCTCATTGGCAATCAAGGCTCTTTCAAGTACGCGATCGCACCCCAGGCACGAGCACAGTGAAGTCACGTGACCAGACCTGGCAGCTGGGGACCTCCTCGGAGGCAACATCTTGCTATACAGGACTAGGAAGTCCTGGTAGCAGAGCTATAGGCTTGCCAAGCAAATGCCGGCTAGCCAGGCAGGACTTGGCGACAAGGCTGAGCAGAGTGGGTGGGCCTGAATCCTGCAGCTGATGCAACCTCAGGAAACGGTCATCAGGTATGATGGCTGAGAGAGATGCAGGACAAAAGTATTTATTCTCCAGACCCATGTCTTGCATTTTTCTATGGCTGTGGCTCCTTGCTGGTCTTGCCCCTTTGCCATTCAGGCTTGCTCACCAGCAGCTCTCAGTGCAGTCTCAGAGCAAACTCACGGCAGCATCTCAGAGCCCAGAGTGACTGGCACCAGCCCCGTGTGGCATTCCTCACTGATGTCCTTATCTATACCCAAAAACAGTAACTGTGAGAAGAGCTCCTCCCAAGGACACTGATCGAGCCCAGAGTCACCTCCTCATGTCTGCACTAACCTAATGTCTCCCAGGGTAACTGGAAGAGAAAGTGTGCCCTGGTCCTGGTTCCAAGAAGGAACCTGAGGCTGAAGGCAGAGGGGAGCATCCAAGACTGCAAGCAGAGCTGCGCCTGGGGACGTCAGTGGTCGGTGCCGCCTGCTGGGGCCTGGGCCAGGGCACCTGCCATCTGTACTTTTCATCCTGCCTCAAAGGTCCAGGTCCTCCCTATAGAGGACAGGTTGTCCCATCTTACTGAGTTTCCCTTTGCCTTATTGGCCTTTGTGGGCCTTGTCTGAGTCCCCGCCATCCCTACCTGGCTAGGCCCATAACAAATACAGAGAAAGAAAGAGAGATGGCCCTTCCTGTCCATACCAGGTCAGCAGAGGGTGTACCTGCACCCTCAGCGCCCAGAAAGTATGGCCAAGCTGGCTTTCTTTATGCCAGGCCTGGTCACTGTTGTCTCAAGCAGTAGAGCACTCAACTCTCCCTCACCCATGTCAGCCGAGGCAGGGGATACTGTGGCAGGAGTTTTAGGGATTTGGGGACAGCCACTCGGGGCCCTTCAGCTTCAAGGCACTAAGATGCCACAGCTCTGCTTCTAGCAAATTTGGCAGCTTCTCTTAGAGAGATACAAACTGAAGACCTCAAGGGTCCATATTGGTATAGATGAGGAAACTGGGGCCAGCGAGCTAAAGGCTAGAACCAGTACCGTGGGGTGGTCCCTGTAGTGACTGCCCGAGTAAGGCCCCAGATTCTGCCTTTGTGATGGCTGCTCACCTTCAAGGTTGTCCCAGCTAGGATGAACTCTGCATAGCCTGACAGAAAAACTGGTTCTCTACCAAGTCCCGGCAAGGCAGGGCTTCAGTGCAGGCAGGTCAGACAAAGAGGGCAGAGAGGGTGGAGCCTAGAGACCTGCTCGGGTGTCTAGTAGAACTGTTCTGCGAGCGCCTGTCAGGTCTGAGACTGAGAAGACCCGAAGAGACCCTGGGAGATCTCCACCGACGGTAGACAGCCCCCTCTGCTACTGCTGCCTTAGAAATGGCTCCTTCAAGGCTTACCTTTCATGATGACTAAATCATCGCCAGTCACAGCGTCCTCCACCCCACAGTGGTCCCAGTGGAGTGGGATGGGGCTTGGTGGAAGGAAGGGAAGCCATAGCAACTGTGAGGACCACAAGTGAGCTGCTTAGAAGGGAGGCAGAAAAGGAGGAACAGAGATGCCTATATCAGTGTCTTATACCAGAGTGTCTGTTCCAGGGGGTCTCTGGGGGGCTTCTCTACAGGGTCCAGATGACTCTGCCTCGGTACCCTTGGTGGGTAGTCCATCCCAGCCCTGCCGCCTGGTGCTTCCCCTCTGAAACAGGCAGCTGTTCTCATAGTTGGTTCCACATATCTGCCACAGTACCAAGGTGGGCTTGCTTAGCTCTATGACTCAAGGGCCGAGCCCCAAGAGCTTGTCGCTGCCCACCAGGGGCTTGCAGTTAGCACTGCCTCTTCCTGGCCTTGAGGCTGCAGCTAATCTGCCTGCCCATCATCAAAGAGGGGCTGCCTGGAGAGGGAATACCCAATATCTCAGACACACTCCGTCTGAGTGTCTACTTGCACCGTCATGCTGTCCTGTTCTGAGATCTTACGTTGCTGTCTGTCTGTCCAGCTATTCCATCCTTCTGATCACATTCACCCAGGGCAGACATCAGGACTAGGGAAGGTAACTATTAAACACCCTCCAGGACCCCAAGGTGTCCCAACTCTGCTTCCACTAACTTTGGGGGTCTGCACCCTCAGTGGAACAAAACTGGAAACCTTGAAAGCTCACGTTGTATAGATAAGGATACTGAGGCCAAAGCCTCCCTCCACCCGAGTGACTAAATATCAGGTCAAGTGCAGGGTCATCCTGGTGCTCAGACCGCTGTGTTGCTTCTCAGGGTCTCGTATCCTCTGCTTCCAGGGAGTTTTCTCAAGTACATTTTTGGTTTTATAATTTTACGCAAAAAAATGCACAGCATAAAATATTCTACCGTAATCATTGTGAGGTGCTCAGTCTGGGACATTAAGCAGCAATTGCTGCCCACCACCTGTGTGCAGAACTCTTCACCTGCCCCCCAGCCCATCCTATGAGTCTGACTCCTGGGGGAGCCTTGTATGCACAGAATCATACAAGAATTAATGGCTAGTGTATCTCCATATACAAAACATACTCCAAGCTTGTCTGTGTTGGAGCATATGTTAGATCAGACTCTCCTGCCTATTTAATACTGAATAATATTCCATGGTACAGTGCTCACTTCACGTTTCAGGAGCACACATCCATGACCAGAGACCGGCATGACAGCAGCTCCACCTGTCTGTCCACAGGCTCCCAGGTCTCTTCCACTTCTGTGATTGGTTAGGGATGACGCTATTGTAAGCGTGGAGTGCCAGTATTTCTTTTCAGTTCTTTCAAGGCAATTCCCAGAAATGGAGCTGTTGGATCATGTGTTAACTGCTGTTATATTTTCTTTAATTGCTCTTTATCACAGTGGCTGCAGCACTTAGCATCCTTGCATCTGTTTGGTTGTTCTGTGTGTGTTTGCTTTGTATGTTCATATGTATGTGCACGTGTGTATAGAAGCCAGAGGTTGACAGCGGTTGTCTTCCTCTTTTGTCCTCTGCTTCTCTTTTAAGATGGCGTCTCTCACTGAACCTGGAACTCACTGATTCAGCTGCACGAGCTTGCCTGTGAGCTCTAGATATCCACATGTCTCTGCGTGGGGCTGCAGTCTCCTAGCGCTGGGTTACAGACACGCGCTGCTGCACCAGCTGTTTTTTTACTACAAAAAAAGAAAGAAAGAAAAAAGAAAAGAAAGGAAAAAGAAAAGGAAGCAAAAGGTCCATGACCTCAGAATGTCATCTCTGTCTCTCGTGGCTCTCTCCACATTTCTGAGACCAATGACTCTGTCTTGCAGGTGCTGTGGTCATCGCCTTTGTGGTCTGCTGGTTGCCTTACCATGTACGGCGCCTCATGTTCTGCTATATCTCGGATGAACAGTGGACTACGTGAGTAATTGGTCTATAGCAAATGGGAGCAGGGCTGCCATGAGCCCCGCAGCTCACAAGCCAGTCTGGAATGAGGTGGAGCTGCTGTGAGCTTATGGCTCCAGGGAGGGTGGTTGGATGAGGATGACTGTAGCCAGGAGGTCAGAGCAGGCAGCAGATCTTCAATGTCATGCCTGGGACATTTGGGTCAGACCTGAAGGTCCTGAGGGCCACAGTCATCCCAGAGTTGGACTTGAGACTCATACAGAGTACTGTGTGACTTGTCACAACAAAAGGAAAGAGACAAAATTAGGGGAGACAGACAGGTTCAGCTCCCACCTCAAGCCACTTGCGAATGTTGTTAACTGGGAAACTCATGGGAGGCTTGGTGTCCAGGTTCTTAGAGGAGACTGGTCAGAGACCCGGCTGCTAACCCTGAGTCAGGCTCCTAGAGAAAAAGCAGGTGGTTAGCATGAACCCTGTTTGTACAAAGAGTCAGCTTCTGGTTAGAGTAGTCCTGAGGGCCTGTCCAGACACGGTCTAAGGGCCAGTCACTCGGGAGGCCTGCTCTGTGAACCCTTTCTGTACCCAGTACAGTGTTACCAGATCTATGAGTAACAGCATCTTCAGGGCAATAGGCACAGGAACAGCCCTGTGAAGGTTTCTGGAGCTTAGGGATGCCTGGGGATAGGGGGATTAAATCCTCATGAGTGGACACAGCACACACAAGCATCAGGAGTGTCTTTGTAATATGGTCAGGGATCAGTGGGCCCTGAAGCCTTAGGACAAAGGGCTTCCAAATAGGACTTGTCAGACAATTAAGATGTGTTACTGAGAGAAGTGTGGCAAAGTAGAGAGGCCATGCCCAAGGGGGACTGTGGTCAAAGCCAGATCAACCAGATACCCGGGAAAAGGCTCTCAGGGATGCTATAGTGTCCCAAGCCACCATACTGCTCATGCCTGGCTATGTACATACTGAGGGCTTTGGGGATCTAAATACCCGTCCATCCCCCGCAGGTTCCTCTTCGACTTCTACCACTACTTCTACATGCTGACCAACGCCCTCTTCTACATCAGCTCTGCCATCAACCCCATCCTCTACAACCTGGTCTCTGCCAACTTCCGCCAGGTCTTCCTGTCCACGCTGGCCTGCCTGTGTCCCGGTTGGCGGCGCCGAAAGAAGAGGCCAACGTTCTCCAGGAAGCCAAACAGCATGTCCAGCAACCATGCCTTTTCTACCAGCGCCACGCGGGAGACAATGTACTAGGCCCTGAGAAGGTTGGGAGGGGGCCTCAGCTTGTGAGCCTTCACGGGGTTCACTAGTGGCCAGTCTAAACCATGCCGGTGAGGCTGGGGCTCCCTGCCTCTAGAGGCTTCTTTCTTTACACTTTCTCTTTCCTTTCTTCCTCTGCTCCCCTCCTCCCCAGTCCTCTATTCTTGCTCTCTATCCCGCTCCTACCTCCAATTTAAAAACGAGAACAGAGGCCGTTTCTCTCTCTGCCCCTCAAAAGGTCTCCAACAAGAAGAAATTAGCACTCACCAAGGATAGCTTCCTTTGTTCCCACGCTAATGGATGCTTAGAAAGAAGAAATGAAAGCACCACATTGGGACCCATCTGTTGGGTAGACGGGATGCTGTAATCATAACAGCACCTTGTAGCTGCACCAGCTGGGCCAGACACCGTCCGAAGCTGAACTTGGGCTCAAAGTCCACAGGCATAGGCTCCATCTCAGCTTCCTCATGCCTCTGCTCCTGCCCTGGTCCTGCAGATCCTGTGGCTCTCTGTGAGCCTCATGTCCAGACCCTTCCTGGGCAGACTGGCAGACTGCCTCTCCCTGAGTGGTCCAGAGAATCCCTCAACATTTTACTTAAGGCTCAGGGCCACAGCTGAAAGCTGAGAGGATCCAGGCCTCTGTCTCCACCTTGGACAGCTATGGCCCACTAAAGAGACCCAAGTTCTCACATGCTCAGAGAGGACAAAAGGCTGACCTGGACTCATACAGACCTGGACTCCCTCTTCTTTAGGCCTGTCCTCACCCAGGACAATCCTCAAATGGCCTTGCAGGGATACCTGCACTGCGACCTTGACCTATTGGATCTGCAGAGGGCTGGCAGATAGGTGGGGCCCAGCCTCCCCTGTCCAGGTGATTTTGTGGGGGGATACATAGTCCTGTGTCTCTTAGACAGCTGTATAAACTAAGGTCTGGCAGCTGCTGGCTTCAGGACGGGACTCCTGAGAAGGGTACTGAGCCAGGTCCTCAGCAAGTTGCCAGGGTCTGAGACTTTGCAGGTAAGGAGAGGCCAGTGCTCCAGCATCCAGCTGGCCAGCAGCCCCGGACTGAAGCATATGCCAATTTGTTACCAGCTGCCAAGCAGCCGCCCTGGCCCAGGTTCTAGGCGCCCGGAAAAGCAGGCACCCTTCATCTCTGGGAGCTGTCTCCAAATAAGACAGAACCATCGAGCCTCCAGCCAAGAAAGTTGGCTGAGCGCTTGGAGACAGTCCCAGGATGCCCTGGACCAGCAAGGGAGGAGTGGCAGGAGGGCCAGAGAACTAAGCTCAGCCTTTTGCAAAAAGAGTCTTTGGCCTCACTGTCCTGAAGAGAAATGAATAAGTGGGCGGTTGGCTGGTGAGAACAGTACTGCTTTGGGACTTGGAGGGAGTAGTCATGACCTGGGGCTAGCCTTCACTCCCTCTGGGCTATAAAACAACAGGTTGGTTATTGGGGTATCTGTGATCACCCAGATATAGCCACTGTGCTACTTGAACCCCACAAAACACCACTGCCAACAAAATGACCCTTCAGGTCATCAAAGGCAGGGCCTGGCTGACACCAGGAAGATGTGATCAGCCCAGAGGGATCCTCCCCATCCAAGAACTGTCTACATGGGAGCCCTCCCAGACAGTGAGTGGGTCGCAGACCAGTGCTTTTGCATGAGGATATGGACTTATACCCTGACCAGGCAGTCCAGCCCTAGGCCCCCATCCTGGGTTCCCAGACCTTGGGCAAACCTTTTTTCTGAGCCTCAATTTTCTCATCTCAGCTGACTGGGACTGTCTTGAAGGACCCAGCCTAGAATAAACAGAAGAGAGAAGCCCCGAGGCTGGGTAGAGCCAATGCCCTGTTATACAACCTCCCAGAAGTGCTGTGGCTGTTCCCAGAAGTCCTTGCTGTGGTCTTTAGCCTCTTGTCTGTGCTTGACATAGTTAGGGACATAAGTCCATGCCCCACCAGACACACCTATGACCTCGGCTTGGTATTCTCAGCTCTGGGCCAAGTTCTGGAGGCTGACCTTAGTGTCCTGGGTCACAAATCCAGAGTCTCATGAGCCCAGTAGTGATGTAGACACAGGTCGTGTGCCCTCAAACATCCACCAGAATACCCCCAGCCCACCCCCACTGCAATCAAGGAACACTCTCCCCCATGTGTCCCCCGTAAAGAATAAAGGAAATTGTGGACACCCAGTTTTTGCTTTGTGTATGCTTCCGTTCACACACCCGTCCATTCATTGAGGCGGGCAGGGCTGATGCAATGTATGGGGCTTTTATCTGCCTCCTATAAGCTATGGGTGGGGTCATAGCTCCTAAAAACTGAAAGGGTCCTGGCCACTTCCATGACCACCTTCCCAAAGTCTTAAAAGTTCTCCTCACACACCTGCTGCCCGACCACCTCCCTGCCCACCTTCCCGAAG